CCCTTTGCGTTCTTAGTAATGTTCCACCTTACTTTTTAACAGTCAGGTATTGTGCAGAACAAAGTCAAGTAGAAATTCAATTATTTAGCATGTTTTAGCTACCTTTTGAAATGCAAGCAGAATGCAGGAAGGCATGTGTGTGTGTGAACAGGGTGTTCATGTGTGTGCGTGCGTATCAACTAGTCAAGTTGGTGACTCAGCTACTTTCCTTGCTACTTTAGTAGCACTGTTCTTTTGCCAACTGCATGCCTTTCAGCTAATCTCAAATGTATGTTACAGTTTATCTCATTGCTGCTAAGGCGGCCACAAAGCAACTTCTGAGATGTGCTCATGTAACCACTATGGTATCAAATTCTGTCCTTTCTTTAAATAAAGCATTCAATGCCTTCTAGTTCATTTCTGAGGCTCTGGCAGTGTTTTGTTCATTTAGACCTGATTTGGTTATTCTCTGGGGCTTTTCCAATTCAGTGGGCCTAGATTTTGAAATCAGCATGGTGCACTGACTAACTAAAAAGGAGCCAATCAAAAACCACCACCCTGCTTTGCAAACTTGACTTTCAGTTTGCGCAGCTCTTGTTGTCTGTACCTTCCCTTCCTTCCTCCCATCTCCCCACTCTTTGGGTGCACTCATGAGCTCGAAGGCCAAACCACCATGCTAGAGTTTCTATTCTGTTGTTTAGGTGTACACATACCTGACCACTTCCTTTCTCCAGAAGGCCTAGTTTTTTTCTAGCAACAGCAATGTACATGAGAGTCCCTGACTGCTTGCAGATTCTTTGTTTCTCTGGTGGCACTCCAGCCAAGAAAAAAAATAACATGCAAATGGCACAGGGTAGGGATGGTGAGTGGCCAGGGTGGGGGAAATTGAAAAGGATGGCGGAAGACATCTGGAGGGCCAGGTTTGGTCCACGTGCCAGAGCTTCCCCACTCCTTCTGTAAAGTATTATGAAATTTACAGTTATGTTGTTGTGTAAGAACAAGAAGAACCTTAAACAAAACACAATTTAACTATAAAATAAGTGCTTTTTGGATCACAGAGGCATCAGGAAGGTTAGAAGGCACAGGGCCAAGTTGAGCCACAGTCAACTCCAGACCTAAGGAATTTGAACTAGTTAACATACAGGTACTAGTAGCATTTGCACCAGAATTTTTTGGAGCAATGCAGCATGTTTGTTGTTTACATGCTCGCATGCATAAACTAGGAAAAGGAAAGGAAACTATCTGGTTTCCAACTTTTCATCTTAATTTGCTGGGAACATGAGTGGGAGTTTGATGATGCACTGAAGGGAGCAACCATACTTCCGGCTGTTAAAGGTTCAGGAGGATTCTTTGGTAGGAACTGGGTAACAACTGCAGGGTTCTCATATACCAAATAATTCCCTATCAAATTTACTGCCCTGCTTTTTGCACATGCTCAGCATGCAGTGGCTATTTTCTCTCTTGTTTCCTCTGCTGCTGAAGTGGGCTGAGAAAGACCCTGATCATGTTTGATACCTCCTGTTGCTGACCGTCTCTTCCTGTTTCTGCCAATGCTTGGAACCTCTTGAATGTTGTGGCTTCCGGAATGCTCAGCTTTGTGTTGTTTGCATGCCTTTAACATCTGGTTTGGTTTTCCCCTTGGTGCTGAGCAGGTTTAGCACACAGAGACTAGCAGAGTGTTATGAAAATCGACTGAGAAGCCCTTTTCCTGGTTCATATTTCACTTCAGCCTCCCACTCACTAGACAGCCTTACACAAGCTGTGCATCTTTTCAGCATCTCCCCTCAACTATGCATCAGTCACAATGCTAGCCTAGTTCACTAGCTTTTTTAGGATTACTGTGATGTCCACGGCATGCTTGCAGAAATGGAGGCCCAAATTTAGAACAAAATAATTGAGAAACAGAATAAAAGGATAATATAGGAAGAATACAGTGTGGCAGAACTAAAGACAGAGCTTTATAGTCAAGGATTTGTTTCTCTGGTCCAAGTGTCTGGATAGAGGCTTCATGCAGAAGTGGGTAACCTGTGGCCCTTGGCTATTTTCAAAAGCCCTTTGCAACTGCTCTATTCAGATTTCTGGTTAGAGTGATCTGCAGAGGGGGAGACAGGAAGGAAGGAAGGAAGGAAAAGGTGAGGTAGATATACAGAGAAAGAAAGAGGTGGAAGAAAAAGGAAGGAAAACAGTGGCAGAAAAGGAGAGGGGCTTCAGTCCCCAGAAGGTTGCATGAAGGAATGTGGCACTTTACAAAGAAATGTTTTTCCACCCATGCTTTAAAGATGCACTTCTGGGGTGCACTTTCAGCTTATGGGGTGTGCCCTGCCCACTGAGGAAAGAGACATGCACAAAATGCCATCTCCAGGGTTACTTCTGGCATAAAAGTAGTGAGCATGGATACTGATATCCAGTAGGCTGTCTAGTAGGTATTCATGTCAAAATGTGCATTCACTTTGCGGTAGCAACAGAGAGAAATGGTGATCATACTCCCCCCTCCCCACACACATGTTCAGAAATACCTTCTCCCTAATCCACATATTACACTGGAAGGCAAAGGGTGCCCACTGAGCACATCCACTGTGCGGCCCTAGATGCCACTGCAAGTGACTAAATAAAGGCATTATGTCTGGAACTTCCAGTGCAGTAGCTACTTGCAGCATCAGTGATGTCTCCTCATCAGTGACCTCATCAGTGACCAATCAGGCTGCTTCTTGTCTGATTTTTAAACAATACCTTTTTTTCTAACTGGGAAGTGCTGCACTCCAACATCATCTCCTTTGGGGTACAACTGAGTATTCTTTTTCTTGCAGTTTGGATCTCACACTTCACCCCTCCCTTATACATAGGGAAGTTTCTTTTCACCCATTTGCCTTCTGAGAAATAAAATTTTGTGATTGGCCATGTCCACTGCAGCGGCCATTTTATGAATGGGCAAGGCTCCCATTTTGTGAGAGCACCTGTGACACACTCGACATTTCATATGTTCCCCCCAGCCCAATTTTTCCAGGGATCTTTGTTTTATGCAAACACATACAAAATTGATGCATGGTAACTGGGGGAGCACAAAACTTCCTCAGTAAGAAAATAACTGCAGCTCAGGGCTGGCACCTTGACATCTTCACAATTAGGCCTGAAGCAAAATTTCAAGGTGAGTTTGAAGGTTTCTTCTTGTAACAAACATCTGAGGAATTTCGAAGGAAGCAAAAGGGATTTCAAAGAGACAAGTGAAATTTCTCTGAGGTGGAGGAGATGCACATTCCTTTCTAAAATATAAAGGCCTTCTGAGGGAATATATTTGGATCCTGTACAACAAATAAGTAGCAGCTGTGCCTTTATTGAGCCAAACATTATTCTCTGGGGAAAAGGGACCCTTAGACTCCAGTTGTATCCACATGGATGGTCTTCTCCCAGATTTGTTGGAAGTAAATCCAGAACTTTGGGCATGTGGGAACACCTCCTCTGGTGGGGACATTATCATGAGTGGGGGCAGGAGAGGGGTAGAAGCAGCACAGAGCTTTTTATTCGTCCCCAGAATTGAACACTGTTAATGTGGAAAATCGAGAACGCAGCAAAGCAACACAGGAGGCTCTGCCTTATTTGTGGCAGTTTTCCAATGTAATAAAATCACCAGGAACTCCAAAATTAAATAGAATACTGAATTCTTCTCCAACGGAGCTCCAGTTGGGGGCAAACCCATTCCAACCCATTCTTTTATAGATTGGTTCCATAAAGGACGCCACAGCCTTGAATTTGCAAGAGCTGAGCAAGGCTGTCATGGATAGGGTATTTTAGAAGGCTTTCATTCAGAGGGCCAGAGATAACTTGATGGCACATAAGAACAACACCATGTCCAGCAAAGCTTAGCACAGCCTACCTAAATTGTTTTTTGAATGACTAGATGCAATTTGTCTCTGAGTTTGCAGTGCAACAGTGGAGACAACCTAGGGTGGGATTTAGAAGGTCTGCCTATCAGAAATTAATTCTGTGCAATAATCAGAAATTAATTCTTTACAAACATTTATTTTTACTATTTATACTGGACCTAAGGAGAACTATAAAATGAGCGGAAATAAGAACATTTCTGCGGGGTAGCGGAAGACTTTCTGTTCTGCTGCTTTGTTCAACTTTCTCCCAACCCATACTGTTGCTGAAGCCACATGGAAGTGTGATGCCACATGGGTTCTTCAGCCATTTCCATCACAAAGGTCTGTTGCAGGCCTTCTGACTCTGCCTGGATAGGATGACAGATTGCAAAACCTGTTCTTTATTTCGATGCAGCTTTCTCATTTATTTAAAGGAACGATCATCTTAAAAGTGTAAGCTCTGCAACTGGTTGGGTTTTCTCTTGGCTTGGGTGAGATTGTTTCACAGAGGAGCTGCACAGCCATGCTGGAACTGCCATTTCGACAGCAAGAAACAATTCTTGGTGCAGTGGAGAGGGAGGTAGTTGAAGAAAGACAGTCTGTAAGACTATGAAAGAGAAACTGAAGGACTTGAAAATTAAGATCAGTCACACATTGTTTGTGGGAAAACAAAGGACAAAGAATGGGGCAGTTCTGTTGAAACAGTGTACAGTTCAGAAATTAATGAGGAAGTTATGTGGCACTCGTTCTTCTGTTCAATTTTCCTCCGTGCAACATGTATCACTTCAAGCACTGCAAACTGAATTAACAAAGAGAATGTGGCCACTGAGCAGGCAGAATGCAGAAGAAAAGATCTTGGCCAGTGTTTGCAGAAAGAGAACTTTTCCAGCAGCCCACTCTTTTATGAGATAGTTTGTGTCAGAAATTTGCAGGCCCTTTTTGTGGCAACCTCCTTAAGCAACAATTCTGGAAATAAGTCAGTACAAAACCTTATAGTTCCCGAACCATACAAAGAAAAAATACACCCACTGGTTTATCTTTTAACAATGAAATTTCAGACTTATTGTCCCTTGTGCCTCAAGTACAGCTCTTGCTATCCTGGCTACTGATCTGAATGCATGACTTTTCAGTTCGATGCAGTTATGAGACAAAGGAACTTACCAAAGTAGACTGGTTTTCCACACATGGGGCAATAGGAAATCATCGCCTGTCTTCCCTCACTAGTCAGGCTCCTTTGAATAAGCAGCTTTCTGTTCACTCGATGACAGAAAAACTGTGGCTGGGGCAGGGTGGTGACACATTCTGCTTTCTCAGTCAGGATGCTGTGGTTTTAAGTAAATGAGCACTCTGTCATGTAGTGACAAGGGCAGAAGTGAGGGCATAAACTGCTGCTCATTTACACGAAGAAAATATCACAGATTCAGGTTCCTGTCCCATGATTTGACCCCACCAGTCCCCAGTGATCTCTTGCCTCTGATTTCACACTCTCTACCACCATCATCAACACTTCTCTGCCTCTCATGTGATAAGGACACGTGGCATCTTTCTCTGTCTGAACTGACCCCCCCTCCCCGCCTTGCGCCTCGCCTCTTCCATTGGCCTGGATGCATATGTGCATATCTAGCACCAACAGGGGAAATGAAGAGTGACCATGAACACGGCCTGTCAATTTCCTTCTCACAAGCTCCGAGATTGCTGAGATTGCTGCATTTCAGGAGAGCAATTATCTATAGTGCACGCAGAACACAGAAGAAAGCCAGTGCAGTGGGGTGGTTAAAGTGCTGGGAAATCTGGGTTCTAGCCCCTCTTTGGGTGACTTTGGGCCAGTTACACACCCTCAGGCTGGCCTACCTCGCAGGATTGTTGCTGTGAGGCTAAAATGGAACCATGTAAGCTGCCTTGGTTCCTCACAAGAGGAAAAAGGCAAGATATGCATGCAATGTCATCCCCATCACCATCACCATCATCATCTTGTCCTCCTTTTGCAGCTACTCTCATCTGCCCATGGAGGCCAGGATTAATCAGGATAGGAAGAAAGGCAGAATAGGGTTCCAATGGAGACCAACAAGTTCAAAGCTAGCAAGTGGGATGAAGGGCGTACCTCACTCAGCTAGGCTAACCATGCATCCTGCCTTACAGAGGTCAGCCCAGAGGAGCAGCCAGAGGACTGTTTTCTGTGTGAAGGTGTCCTCTGTGTGGAAGGCGATCCTGTTCAATTCCTGCTTCAAGGCAAAGAATGATAAGAAGTGAATGGTTACGCATCAACCGTCAGCATCTGGAAAGCAAGCTAATTCAGCAGACACCTGGGTCTTCTTCTCACTGTCTTCTACACCATGATGTGATGCACTTTTTAGCAGTATCCACAGTGTCATTCCCCTGATCCTGATAGCGGTTCTAGAACTCCACTGACTCCACTGAGCCAGCACTTGTGCATTTCATTTGTGCAATCTCTTCCGCAAACTGCTAGTGTAACCACTTGGACAACTGTGCTTGCACACGTGATTTTAGTTAGATTCTCCTCTTGAGCATAATTTAGAACATGGTTGCCATTAATGCCATGTTATTTACACTAGCCAAATGACACACGTGGATACTTTTGTAAGCCGTCCTGAAGCTCCTTGCATAGAACGGCATAGAATTAAAATGTTTTAATTAAATTAAATTAAAAAATAAATTAAATCAAATACTGCCCTGTAATTAAGTAATAATTATAACAATTATTTCTAAATGCCCCCCTCTCTCTGCATGTGTGTATGTATCATCACTTGCAACTGTTATTTAAACCTCTGTCCTCTTTTCTGGTATCCTTGTGAGAGGTACTTGTCTTCCACATTCAGCAACTCACTTTTGCACTGCAGTGAATACAGTACCCCTGCTTTAATTGCCAACTCCCTGTGCTCATAAGTAAGGGTGGGAATTCCCTTCCCCTCTCACTTAACCTGCAGTACTGGCCAGCAGATCTGACTGATGAAATAACCTGATATATTGAATAACTTGAATCCCTTGATATATTATTGCATCAATGGATGAAACACACCTTTGGGATATTCTCCACAGGTTGCGAAGAAGGGCTGATTCTTCTGATCCAGTTACATTGTCTGCCATATTAGTTGGCTGTAACAAAACTAATAGAGTCTTACAGTTTCCTAAAGACTAACCAGTCTATTATGGCATATTCTTTTGTGGACTAGGGTGTTTCCAGATGAAGCTTCTATATTGCCATTGCTCTGCCTCATCCATGGACTTGTATATGTGTCTGTGTGAGTAGATGCCATGTGCTCCCACCACTTCATCAACCCTTTTCCTTCTCTCAGAAAATCTGTTCAAGAAAATCAATGTAGAATTGCATTCTGACATCAGCTACCATGAGGACTCTTTGTCTGATAGCACCTGTGGAAACCATGTCATCAGATAGATTCTGATCAAGGGATTGCAGAACATTTACTTCTAACTGGTTAGGAGGTGGTTGCCCATTAGTTCCTTCCAAGCAATGTGAATATCAATTCCCAATGGGTTAACAGTATAATTGTCCTTAGAATTCAGCACAACTTCATAGACGTCCAAAGGTGATACCCTCAAAACGCAATGCGAGAGAGAATGACTGATCATCTGGTTATATTGCAGTGTAAAAGAAAATATTCCTATAAGGCTCAATGCATTCACCTTCCATTTTTATGAAAGATAAACACTATAAAATACTATATCCTTGCTATTTGACACTTAATCAATTGAATTGCATTGAGGGGAACTGTGAGGATAGCCGTTGGTGATGTGAAAGTAACAAAGCTAACTTTATGCATTTTTGGTGTGGATGGCCTCTCACTGGGGAAATATTGTACATGCAGTATCAATGGTAATATGTGTTTATGTATCCTCTAACAATCCTGCTTAGTAGAGGAACAGATCCAATGGTTTCAAAGGTGTTGGTTGCTGCTAGCAAATTGGTGGTTTCTGAAAGTATGGTTGTATAAGGAGATGGTCTGTAATTCAACAACTTACGTCCATTTAAGAAATGGGAGACAAAAGACTGCCTATTTTTCTAGTGTCTTGTGTTCCTTTACTGAATTTATGAGAACTAGCTTCAACCCAATCATTAATAGATATATACAGTATATTTTCCCTGTTATAATCTGATTCAATTTCAAAATTTGTCTACACCATATACTTGACTTGTTCTTCATTTATCTAATAATATCACAGAAAGCTGGATGACATTTTGTGGGACTGTTAAATAATATTGATGCTTGGGTTTGTTTATTTTTACATGAATGTTATGTATAATGTTTGTCCTATGTATTATATTTCTACATATATTAAAAAAGACTTTGTGGCCACCCAAATTAGTATTTGCACATACTCCACTTGACGCTCAATTTTATTCACTTTATATGTAAGGTAGGACAGGCGAATGCTGAAACTGATGAGAAGCGTACAGGTAGAAGCTGGGAGGAACCTGGCACCTGCAGGGAATCTCATCAGAAGGCGCAAAATGTGGTGCAGCCATAATCACTGGTACTGGTTGTCCATGGAGAGGGTAAAAGAAACCTAGTCTCCTTAGTTCTTAGCTAGTCTCTTGAGAATCGCTGGTCAAGATCCTTTTATGGCAAGTTTCTTTTCAGCCCACCTGTGTCCTTAGAGGAGCACAGTTAGTTTTTAGCATATTGCCTGTGACTTGGGGCTGAAGCAGTGCAGCATGACCCAAAAATGTGGTGAGCCTCTACACAATCAGGGTTTTGATGAAAACAGAGTGAACATTTTATTTAGGATTCAGAAAATGTACAGAATGGGGGTGAGGATCTGCTCAGATTCTAGGCAGAAAGCAATAGGTAGCTCAAAGTAGCAACCGGTGCAAAGGACATGGAAGGGTGCAAAGAGCAACGAGCATCTAGCTAACACAACTCTGCACTAAGCTGCCCATCTGGTTCCTTTCTTGGCGAGGTTCTCCCGGTGCCTATATCAGGTCCCTTGGTCTTTGGTGGGGGGGAAAATCACATCTGTGCAGCTGTACCAGCGGATCTATGGGCTTCCTGGGGGACTTGCTCCCGAGCTGGAAGAGAAAAGCCTCCCAACCATTTCCTTTCGCAGTGAAGTCTCTCTCCTTTCGTGCGTTCCCCTTGCCTGGGTGGAGATTTCAGAGGAATGCCTTGCCTTTTGTCTGTTGCCTGGCTGGTAATGGCTCCGTAATGGCTCATCCCCAGCCCTGAGAGGAAGGCTGGAAGAGTCCTATTGTTCAGGCACCTGAATGGTGACTACTGAATAGATTAGCTAAGTGGCAGCGCTCGGCCCACAGATGGCCTCAGCCAGGTCATTTGCCGTGGAAAAGGGAGCTTTCTGGAGCTGGGTAAGATGGAACCTTCCAGGCCGACCAGAACAGAGGCCAATGCGGTAGCAAAAGAGAGTCGCCCCAGTGTCTGTCTGTGATTTGCATATGCTGCAGTGAGAGGAAAGCAGCAGCTGGTGACAAAGCTAATGAGCCATATTTATATAATGAATATTAGTTCGCTTTCTTAGGGAGTCTCGCTGGAATCTGATTCAACTGGCAATATCTTAAACCAATCGAAAGCAAAGCAAAGCAAAGTGCAAACTATTCTTGGCCGTGGGCTTATTTGCCCTGATATCAAGGCTGCATGAAAAGGCAAATAAAACTTCTTTTAACATCAGTTATGTGGAGACTGGAGTGTTGTGGGAACTGAATCAGGAGCAGGCCAGTGGGAGAAGGTTTATATATATCTTTCCTTATATTTATATCCTGCCCCTTTTCCTTCTGCAGGGAGCCCAAGGAAGTTCAGACAACCCCCCTCCTTTTCATTTTAGGGTTAGGGTTACACTATTTGCCATTTTTATTCTCAGTACAGCAATCCCATTCCAGATTGTCAAAGCACCCCCTCCACAACACACACACACACACACCGGGGGGGGGGTTGATCTGTATTTGATACTTCCTGTGCTACTTTAGAGTAAAAATGAATACTTGAGCTGGTTGCTCAATACAGATGTAAAATAAGGTATGTTTTTGCCCCAGAAAGCACAGCCTACAGGATGTGGGTACTGACCATTTGTCACTTCACACTAGTGATACAAAGATCCACCTGGAACTTGTTTGCACTTGGCACTTGTGGATCTTGCTTGCACTTGGCCTTGGACTAGGAAGCAAGTTGAGCTGAGATTAAGTCCAGAAATGCTCAGGAATGCTTGTGGGCACCTTCTCTGTGCTGAATTCCTACTCAAAATACACAAAACCTATTAAGTCAAGTGTGTTGAAGCAGAACTCGGCTTGCACAGTGGGTGTGTGGGCAGCTTGCACAGCAGACAGTGTGTGCAACGGGACCTCACTTTGCTTGCACGGTGGGCCTCACTAGTTTACCTGTTCAGCTGGACTCACTTTCTGCCAGACGCTTGTGTAATGTTCAG